TACCCCTACTTCCTGGTTCTCCCCTGCAGCCTATGGCTTCAGTCATCCATGAGTTTACTTGCAAAATGTCAAGGCTGATAGCATTTATGTTCTGTTTATAGCTGTAACAGGCTTTTTTGGAGGTTTTCTCAAGAGAGTGCCCCTAAAAATGTAAAGATCAGCAAATAGTGGGACAATGGAGATACTGTTCATTGGAGGTCAGGGAGCCACCATGATCCCACCAGTCTATTCATCTGCTAGGTTTATACCTTTTTTTATTCTCTTCTAAAATATTAGTGGTGTCCTGGGAGAAAAAAGAGAAGTGCCTGGGGTCAGCCTGTCATCCTTAAAGTAAAGATGATCACTGTTTTTGTAAAGCAATTCATAAAATATTTTTACACATATTACTTCACTTGATCTCTCTGACAACCTTTGAGATCCACAGGGCAATGGCTACTATATCCATCTTACAGATAAAGCAGCTGAGTCTCAGAAAGATTAAATGACTTGCCCGAGGTCACATTGCAAGGTGGGAATAGAGCCAGGATTCGAGGCAGGTGTCCAGGCCCTGACCTTGGTCCAGGAATGACGAGGGCATTGGAGGGAGGCACAGAGAATAGACCAGACGCTAGTAACATTGAGCTGGGGACTTGGCCTGGAGTGTTGGCAGGACTGTGTTTCCAGGCGATATCTGAGGCAGTGGCTGTGTCGTGTGTTGTTCTGCGGACTTGTGGTTTGCAGGGCTGGGGTAGGGGGCAACAGTGGGTCAGCCAGGGTGCCACCACCATGTAATGACACCTGTCCTTCCATGATCTGGAAGCTCCTGAGATGGGAGAGCTCTGCAGATTTGGGAGAGCTAGAAGGAAGCCTTGACTTGTCAGGGTGAGAGGAGAGACTCTCTTTTGGTCTTTTAAGCTATCAAGCAGCTTCCTGTCCTGAGGCTTTTGAACTCACTCTTGTTCCTGCCAGGAACACACTTTTTCCAGATATTTGCTAAGTTCCCTTCACCAGGAAACCCTTTCCTGATGAACTCATCTGAAATGGTTATTTCTATATCCCTTCCTTCTACGTCAGTTTTCTTCATAGCCTTACTGCTTCCTGGGGAGGCATTGTTTATTATTTCCCATTTGCCTCCCCCACTGGTACGTACGTGAGCTCAGTGCAAGCAGGGAGTTCTTTGTTCACTACTGTATTTCCAGTTCCTGCCATACAGAGGTATTCAGCAAATAGGAAGTTGGCTTGAACTCGGAGTTATCAATTCATTCATTAATTTATCATATGTTCAACAAATATTTGCCATGCATTTGCTATGTGCCTTAGCCCTGGAGTTATTTACTCTGTAGTGAGAAAGATCAGGGGAAAATGGGGACAGGTGCTGGGTCTTTCCAAAGGGAAAAATACAGTCAAGACAGAACAGTTTAACTTACACCTGTTCTGTGCTCCAGACACTGGGCTTAGGCCTTTATTGCATCATCTTATTTACTAATTTTAACAAATCTGGGTTAGGAGATGTCTTAGTTGGGTCTTAGACCCAAGTTCTTCTCATTCCAAAATCTTCCAAGTAGTTAGCTACATGACTTTCCCTGCAGTCACTCCTCCCTTGTATTCTCCCTGTAGGGACACAGGTTCCCTTAAGCCTTTCACTGGACCCCAGGGTGAGAGCCAGTTAGTTTCTTGGTAACATGCAGATCCTGGTGGCTTCTCTATTCATGATCAAATCAAGACAGCCTACTTTAGGGGGCTTCTCTCAGTATCAGTACCTAGTCTACAACCAGGTGACCTGAACAGCTATAGAGTACCTGCCCCTTGGTTGGGGTTAGTGCTTGATCAAGAGAAAGAAGCCATGGTACTGCCTTCCAGAAATTTCTTTTCTTTTTCCTTTTTCTTTCTTTCTTTCCTTCTTTCTTTCTTTCTTCTTCTTTTTTTTTTTTCTGTTTTTTGAGAGATTTTTGCTATAAGGTGCATGTGCTCACTGGAGAGACAGAGAAAGTGAGAAATCACCACCAGGGGAGATGGCTGCACCACAATCCCTTCTCCTGTGTTCTCCTTTCAGGATTTTGGGCATGCATGCACACGTTTGCGTTGTGAGTTTCAGGCCACTGGGATCAAGACTTGAACTGTAGTCAATCACGTGGGAGACCAGCACATTAACTACCACATCACCTGCTGGCCCCTCAGGAATGTGTTTTGATCTGTCCTACATTTTCTGGTATTGCTGTAGAATTCCAGTCTTATGAACTGTCAGTGGAAAAAGAATTCCATGATCCAATGTCTTGGGAAATGATGTATAAGATATCTCTTTCTTGGACATTCACAATGTCTCAGAACATATTTATGAATTGGAGAAGTCTTAGTAAAGGAAAGCATTTACTTTTATTTTTTTAAGAGAGATTTTTGTGGGTCAGCAGGTGGCATGGTGGTTGAGGTGCTGGACACTCCCACATGGCTGGCCACAGTTTGAATCCTGGACGTGGTAAGCTCAGCTTTCCCCAAATATATTGGACCATTGGTTCCTCCTTTAACAAAATCAGGTTAAACCACATGTAAGCACCATTTTTGCCACTGTGTCACAGTGACTGAACCTCAAGTGCCATTCTGGAGGCAGTTTTATGAGGTGCAACTAATGACTTGTAACATCTTACTGAATTGGAGTTCCATGGAAGACAACTTTGAGAAACACAGACATAGTTGTATAGATTATTCTCTTTCTCATTTGCTTCTTTCTGAATTCTGTCCTTCTCTCCACCAAAAGTCTACTCACATTAGGAAAAGTATAGACCTGCCAACTGAGTAATAATAATAAAAATAATCTCTTAATGGGCAGCAAAGATTATGACTACCTCTCCTCTACGGATGAGGAGTCTGAGGCTCAGAATGACTTGGGTGACACAGCCTAGAAGTAGCAGAGCTGAATCTCAGGTGCTTAGTTACCTGTGTTTCTGATGCTCTTTTAAAAAGTGGTCCAAGTGAATGTAAAGCATTCTGATGTCCCAGGACTTGGATCTTCCTTGTCCCTTAGGCTGTCCTTGGAGGAGTGGGTAGAACCTGGGTCCTGGACCCTGGCAGGACTTGGTGTTTCTAATAGTTCAACTCACCATGTAGATAGCCACTGCCTCATGTGCTGGTCTCAGATCAGGTCAGAAGGAACCTGTTGGTCTCCTTAAGGTGGTCTAACCAGAATGAGAGGGAGTGATGGTATGTTTCTGAGAACGCTGGGGAACTGAGCCGCGGGGAAAAGTGAGTCTAGTCCTGCCCTGATGAAGAGCTACCTCTTCTGGGACCCTCTCAGAAGTGTTCAATTTCTTTGCCAAAGATCAAGAGACCTAGAGTTCACCAGAAGGGGGTTCCATGGCAGGGTGTGTCTTGTGATCTTTCACCTAAGGAGCAGGGTGCTGGCCTTGGTTGGGAAGCCCCATTGATCTTTATGAATCTCATGGTTCCCACCCATCCATGGCCCCTCTGGGACCCCTCTCTCACCCCTAAAGTCTGAAAGCCTAGAAAATCCTGGTATTTCTGCAGAACAGGGGAATCACTCTCCAAACCAAGCTTAAATGAAAGCAAGAAGAAGGTGAGTAGGGTTCAAAAAAACAATTTCTTGACTGAAAGAGGGATAACTAACCAGGGATAGATAGGGAAGGGTGGCAGAGATGCTGAAGCACAAACGTGGAGAGAGGGCTTAGGAATAGCAATGCGGTATGTGGCCCTAGAGGTTGGGCACTGTCTGAAAGAAAGAGATGCCAGTGAGAAGGGAAGCAAGTGACTATTTGAGGTGGATATATAAAGATCTCATATTAGTCAGTTAGTATTTATGGGAATTTGTATCTTTGATTTGATTTATTAATTCAACAGATATTTATCAAGTATCTACATTTTGCTAGGCATTGTTCTTGAAGCTGGGGACATAGCATTAAACCAATTATAAGTATGTATAATTATAAATACATAATTGCAAATTTATAATTTAAAAATGAGTTCTCTTTGCAGGTCTCAAAGGGAGAATTCTAGATGGTTTAGATATTCCCTTTCTTAAAAATGCCTTAGAACATCACAATAGCAAGATGTTTAAGCAGTACCTTGCTTAAAGCGTGATGGATGGTGGTTTAGAGAAAAGGGGTATGTCTCAAGTTTACCATAACTTCCTTTTCTGTCATTTGGAAATTGTGATCTACCCTTAAGAGAAAGAGAAGTGTGGGTTCTGGCCAAGAGCCCTAATGGGTGCAGAGCACCATGTAGGGTGTCTGATAGACATTTTGCCAAGGGAATGCTCTTACTCCCTCTGTAGACAGACATTTCTGAGGGAACTGTGCAGGCCCTTGGGGTGAGCACACACAAGAGGAAGAGGGTTTTCAAATGTATCTGCACTTTGTTTTAGTCAGGTGTGGTAGCATGCAGGCATGGAGATAACCATCCTGAAGGAAGATGATTTTATACTTACAGGTCCCGCGTTACAGGAGGCACACCCTGCAGGGCTGCACAGGGAGCACCAGGGAGGGGCAGGAGTCAGGAAGGAATGGGCAAGGGAGGAGGAGCAGGGCAGGTTTTGGGTTGGTCTGAATACTTTAGGCAGGCCCCAGGCAAAAGGATTGCCCTGAGTTGTCTGATACCTGGCCCTGGGATGATTAGGGCAGGGGGATAGTGGCTCTCTGAGACAAGAGGTGGTTGAGAGTATAGGCTCTGCATTAGCTCATCTGCGTATGAAAGGCATGCTTGCAGGATTGTTGTTTGCTATCACTAGGAATTAGCAAGGCTTCAGACACCAGAGCATTAAGAAAATAGTAGAGGAGAAGTGATTGCGTGTGGCCATCCCCGTAGGGGGTCATTTCTCACTTTCTCATTATTTCTCTCTGCAAGACCATGTGCCCTTTGGCAAAAATCTTAAAAAAAAAAAAAAAAAAGTATATTCATGCTAAAGGTCAGCACAGGATTTGGCATGAGGAGGACAGGAAGAGAGCACCTGGGGAAATGATGGCCTTTGTCCAGCCAGGCCCTCTCACATACTCTTCTGTCTTCTGTTCCCCAAGGGTGAAGCAGTCGGAGCTGTTCGACAGGTGGAAGAGCCTCCAGATGTGCAAATGGGCGATGAACATCTCTGAAGCCAACCAGTTCAAGTACCTATGATTTTTCTTTCCCCCCTTCTGGTGTAGTTCTCTTCACTATCACCCTCAAATCTCTGTTGTCCTGCAAAACCCAGCTCTTGGTAGACATCTTCTACAGAGCTGGCCCCATTAGGCTTAGGAACCTGGGCAGCAGGGAGGCTGTGAGCACCCAGGAGGAAGTGCCAGGCACTCCCCTCCATGTTCTCTTCCTCAGTCCCTGAAGCAGCCCTGTAAGGTGAGTGGTGTCTTAGCGAGTATATGGTCAAGGTTAATGATAGGAATGGTGAAGCACTTGCTCAAGATCTTTGTGAGTGCAAGTTAAATATCCTCCATGGTCTCACCATTCTTACCTACTCTGTCCTGGGGCAGCTGCCCTAACCCGGCAGCTTTGCTCCTTCTCAGAGCTCTTGGGTTCTTACAACATACATTTGAGCCCTGCTGTGGATTACTGTGTAAGTGCTCTCTAACCCAAATCAACAGATAGTAAACTCTCAGAGAGGTAAGAGTGGCGTCTTAGAGTTTTTCTGTGGAATCTAGGCAGATAGAGATGTCTAAATATTCTTTTTGTTTAAAAATGCATTTATTTCTTCTATGAGTAAGAGAGAAAAAGAGAGACAGCACCAACGACAGGGTCTTCACATTGCCGTCTCCCGCCAGCCTCAGCCAGCCAGCCAGTATTTTGGGCACCCGTGTGCCTGGTGTGCTCTGGAAGGTCTCTGGACACAAACCTGGAACCTTCTCATGTGAATCAGCCTCACAGAGTGTTGTGTTTTACTGTTGAGCCACTCTCTGGCCCTCCTTCTATTAAAAAAAAAAGAAAAAGAAAAAGAAAAGAAACACACATGCACATATATGTATGTGTGCATGTGTGTGTATATATTTATGTGTGTGTGTGTGTGTGTGTATATGTAATGTAAATCAGCATGAAGGAATTCTACACAGGAGGTTGTGAAAATGGATATTACAGAGCATTTTGTATTTGTTAAATAAATCTTTGGTTCTAGTTTGCTGCAATTGTGGGCCAAGTCTAGAGAGAGACTGACTAGTAGTTTTAAGTGGCACATTCTTAGAAATGTGAAAATTCAGTGATAACCCTTGACGAACAGGTACCAGAGGCCTCTGTGAGTCTGCAGAAATAGTTTGCAGAGACTCATCTGCCATAAAATACACTGTGAACTTGGGCAAAGTGCTGGGAGAAGGAGGAATTAATCCAAGATTGGTGCTGCAGACCCGCCTCTTAGAAGTGCTGTCATGAGCACTGCATGGACAGATGCCCCCATGGGTGAGTGAGGCTGAGCACACTGAAGGCGTGGCTGATAAAACACTCAGCCATGTGAGGTTGACAGGTGAGATGCAAAAGGTGCTTCCTAGGCTGAGAGCTGAACAGGAGTCTCATTGGTGGGACTCACATAACTAAGGAAATAATGAAGCAAAGAACAGTGATGTGGCAAGAGAAAGCAGGGACAAGTGTGGAAGCTTTGGTAGGGATCAGACAGCACTGTCTAGCAGTGAGGCTGTGGGAGAACTGAGAGCCTTCTGGGGTCCGGGGTGTAGGAAAGGGAGGTGATATCAGGCTTTATTGTGCTTCAAATCAAAAAACCTTTAAGGCCAGCTGGTTCCCTCCATTTTGCTCTTATTTTGATCTCATAGAGCGATAGAGAGATTCTTTCTTCAAGTTGTTGGGAACCTCATTCAGTGAAAGAGTTGGGTGGGTAATGGAAGGCAGAATTAGCATTCCCATTATAGGAAAGGAATCCTAGTTACAAGACAAGTTCCTAGTTTGTACTCTAGACTTTCAGAGGCCAGTGTGGTCAGTGGAGATGTGAGCAGCCCTAGAACTTCGTGGAGAGGTACCTGATCCGGGTCCTGGAAGGGCAGTGGCAGGAGAGGAGGAATGGCCTAGGCAGGGGCAAGTGCCAAGGGAAGGAGATGTGAAGAAGTAGAGAGAGGCCTCAGCTCCTGTTCTCAGTGAGGTGTTACTATGTCCCGGTCATCAGTCTTTCCACCTGTCTCCCTGTCTGGCAGGTCCACTCTGTCCAGGTGCTGCAATGCCCCCGCCTTTCTCTTCACCACCCAGAAGAACACTCCCCTGGGGACAAAGCTCAAATATGAGGTGGACACCAGTGGCATCTACCACATCAACCAGGAGATCTTCCGGATGTTTCCCAAGGTGCTGCTTTGGGCGGGACAGTCTGGGTGGGGCAATGGAACTGACCCAGCCATGGTCTTCTGTGGCAATACCCTTGCAGTTTTGGAGGACTCATGCTCTGCCCTCTGCACCCAGCTATCTTGGTCCTGGTTGACCAGCTGTCTAAGTCCCAGTAGACTACTCAATGGGTTTCCTTAGGGATTCTCTCTGGCCACAATGAATGCCAACTGGCTACTATTTAAGTGACTTTTGACAAAGTGGCTATAAAGTTCTGGGCATTGCATTGCCTGCAACATATCTGGTAGAATGATTAAACATTTGTCCCCCACCTAAAGTAGGCACAAGAGTAAAAGCATACAGGCAAAAGTTGTGTGTACAAGGAAGCACAATCCAATACAAATCAAGGCACTGAAAGATTAACTCATATCTGATGGCCTTGTATGGTCATTTGTCTTTTGTGTCTGTAACACTGGAGTTTGAATTAGGAATCCTCTTGGCTGATTAGGAATTCTCTCAGCATCTAAAATATCAGAGTCTTAAATTAGATAAACATTTCATTTTTTCCTGCCATATAAAAGAAGTCTAGAGATTGGCTATTGAGGGCTAGTATGGCAGCTCCCTGGTTATGGGAGACCATGGAATGAGTGACCCACGTATGAGAACTGTTCAGATCTCTGACGCTTGGGTGACTGCTGGAGCAGATCCACTGCACCAGATTCTCCATGCAGGGGCCCTGGAACCTATACTCTCAGCTGATACTGAGGGTTACCAAGGTATGGGGTGGTAGGGTGGGTAAGCTGAGAGTAACCTGAGAGTTACCGAGGTAAAGGGTAGTAGGAGAAGATTGCATGGGGTGTGTTCGTAACCATGTACTGGGTTGCACTGGGCCAGCACTTAGTGGGCCCATTTTGTAGAAATATTGAGTGGCGTGTGTAGGTCTTTCTGAATGAAATATGCAACATAGCCCAGGAAGTCCCCTGTATCTTGTTCTTGGAACTGGAATGCACTGATAGATGTAGGCATTATCCCTGCCACTGCTCACCTTCATAGTTCCAGCACCAAAGTCACAGTCAACATGACTAAACCAAGGAGGGCTGTATTCTAACAACAGCTAAGTTCTTATTAGACACTGAAATCTGAATTTTAGGTAACTTCTTCATGTCTAAAAATATTCTTCTTAGGTTGTTTCCAATCATTTAAAAGATCAAATTCATTCCTAGCTTGTAGGAAAAAATAGTGGCCCTTGGGCTGTCATTTGCCAGCCCCTGAGACAGACCATGGGACATAGAATAGCATTTCCTGGATATTTCTAAAGATAAGTTCTTCTTTGGGTTTGTAAAAACATTCAGCTTTTCAGCCTCCTGTCCCCTCCCTGGAGATTCTGTGGTTTTGGGATAGAGCCCAGAAATTTGTATTTTCAGAAAGTGTCCCAGAAAGTAGCTCTTGATTTACAGAAATTTGGGAAACACCCATACAGGTCATAATAAGCTTTTGATGATTCTTCCAAAGAGAACTTTGGTTTCTGTCCTTTCTCTGGTGAAAGCAAATAGTGCAGCTTCCTCACTGGTTGTGGGACAATGTGTTCCCTGTCCTGGTCCCCAGGGCCTGTGCTCAGGGAGAAATGGCCCTTATGTAAGAACAGTTTCCCACAGATGGAGGCTTCATGACTTCTGTGAGCCCAATACTGTAGATCCCATTGCTTTAGATGTAGCCTGTTCCTGTGATCCCATCACTGTGTGCTGCTCCATGAAACCCCACCAGGCAGCTGGTGTTGCTGGACGAAAGCTGCCTAGCCAGCTTCTGCGTGTGAGAGGGAGGGACCTTTTGGGTCACCTAATAGTACCAAATCTTTTGACCTGTCCTTAACTGTAAAATGGAAAAACTCTCCTCCCACATTCCTTGCAAGGCTGTCTCGTGAGGCCATGAGCTTGTTGAGGTGGGTGTATTTGCAGAGGTGAGAGCACCAGGTGTGAAGGTGGGGTGGTGCTCACCCTGACAGCTGTGCCTGTGTCGCCCCCAGGACATGCCCTACTACCGGTCCCAGTTTAAGAAGTGTGCAGTGGTGGGCAATGGAGGCATCCTCAAGAACAGCCGCTGCGGGAGGGAGATCAACAGCGCCGACTTCGTCTTCCGGTGAAAGAATCACCCATGTCTGCACCTGCCGCTCTCACCCCTGTGATCCTCTTTCTCTGTGCCCTCCCCTTTGTGCACTCCCTACCCAGCCCCAGTTCCACATCATGCAGGCCCTCGAGCCCTGGGGTTTACCTTCCTCTCTCCAGCTTTCCTTTGGGTATGTGGTTGAGCTCTCTCAGGTCCTCAGTTTCCACATTTGCAGAATGAGAGCTGTATAAAAAGCAAATGGCATAACAGATGTCAGGACCCTGAGGTCTGCCAGTAGGTCCCCTGGGTGGCCATCTCCCTGGTGTGCTCTACCCTTCCAGAAGCAGTGGCTGGAGCCAGCCAGCCTAGTGGCAGACATCAATACTGACTTTACCCACTTGGGTTTAACTAAGTCAGAGACTGGTCCTTGCATTTCTTCTTCTTTACGTAGAGCCCCCCCCCTTTATCTCTGGGGTGGTGGTGGTGGTGGTGGTGGTGGTGGTGGTGGTGGTAAAGAAGCCTGGGTAAAGAAGATGAGTTGAAAATAAGAGCTTCAAGTAAAGGGATTTGGATTGAGCCTGCAGTAGGATCGCATGGGTCATGGATCCACAATCACTGGGCCACTCAGGGTTGGTGGGGGGAGGGGTTGAGCATACCCTCAAACCTTATCCCCCAGGACTAGAAAGGTGGAAAGGTGCCCGGCTGTTACCTGAGAGTATGGGGTGAAGGTTGGGGTGATCAGAGATTGTAAAATAAAGGTGGCTCCTGCATAGTTTGAGTTCTTGGCTGTGCAATCCCAGCCTTCTGTCTCCGGAAGAATGAAGCAGAGGGCATTCTGCTGCCTGCTGGGAAGCAGTGTCACCTATCATGGACGCCTTCCTCTGCTGCCAGAATGTGCTCCCTATGGATTCCCAGTCAAGTGCAGGATTGAGGGTTATGATTCCTCTAACACCACAGCCACTGTCCCTTGCTGAATCCTTAGGCTGGCCTCTTTCCTGCCAAGGAGGTAGGGAAGGCCTCTGCTTTAGAGATCGTCTTTCAGGGAGAAGCCCAGGTCTCTGGGGTTCATCTGAACTCCAGTTCAGGCTTCACCATCACTAGGAATGTGACCTCAGGAGTCATCTCACCCTTCTGGCACTTGGTTTTCCGGTCTACAGAATCAGGATGATAATAGCGTCCTCCAAATTTGGGGATTAAATAAGATAATACATATCTCACTATTACCAATGGACAGCTGTTACCAATGGCTACACCCTGAGTGCCCAATAAATGCCAACTACTATTATTTATAGCTTCTGTTCCTTCTACCTGGAATGTTCTCTAGCCCAGCCACTACCCTCATGGTTTGCTAGCTCCTGCACGTCCTTCTAAACTCAGCTCAAGAGTCCCCCACCTTCCCTGACTCTCTGAGGTGCATCCTTCTCTGGGCTCCTGTGGATCCTGGTGCCTACCTCTCATGTGGCATGTAACACTTAGCGCTATGATCAGGGATCAGCTGGGCTGTCTTGTTCTCGGAGACTGGAAACACATGGAGAACTCCATTTACAGTGAGTGGTATAATAATCATATTTCCTCAGGAAGGGATTCTTACATGAAGGGATGAAGTAGTGAATTAAAAAATGGATTTATATGCTCCTTACAGCTAAGAAATGGGGCAGTCTAGTAGTTAAAGTCCATAGGCTCTAAAACCAGGGAACCTGGATTTGAATTAGGAACTATGTTACCTTGGGTGAGTCACCTAACCAATCTGTTTCCTGAAATGTAAGATTAGAATAATAGTCCCTACCATTTGGGTCTAATGTGAGGACTGAATTAATTAATATGTGTAAAACCTTTATTATAACACTAGGTCATTGGGAAAGTCATAACATGTTTTTCTATACAAAAATGCATCATGTCTTCCTCAATGACCCAATAATACAGGATACATACAAAGTTTTGTTATAGTAAAAAAAAAAATGTCATTTTTTTTTAATTGACAGAGGGTGCATGTGCTCATCAGAGAAAGACTGAGAGACAGGAAGGGAGAGAAGGAGAGACAAAATGCCCCTCAAGGAGATATGGTCACACTGCAATCCTTCTCCATTTCTGCATCCTGTTGGGATTTGGGGCATGCACACATATGCACCTGGCATGGTTTTCAAGCCACCAAGGCTGGGACTTGAACTGTTGGCCATGTGGGATCTGGTCCCCTTAATCCCTAGGCTATAGGATGTCCCCCTCCCCAGATGTTGTCTTTTAATGTTCTTCTTATCTCATAGATAAAAAACTTGGGGTGAGGGGATATGACATGTCTTTCTAGGATCATGGAATTAGTAACAGAAATGGGGATACAGTTCTTGTATTCTTTCTACTATACAATAGTATCTCTCAAGCTCTATAACATAATGTTGAACTTGTCCTACCATCTAAGGTCTACTATAGCCATAGTTGTTTGCACTCGTTTTGGAGGCACTGTGGGCCTCATCGTTGTCATAATTATCATCACGATTTTCATCATTCCAGCATGCACCTTTAGCAGAGCCTTCCCAAGTCCCTACTGTGTGGATGCCAAGATACATTGTACTGGGGAAGAGCCCTAGATGTGGAGTCAGACAAGACTGTCCTCCACTCTGCCTCAGCCACTTAATAGCAGCAAGTCTCTCAACCTCTCTGAATGCCTGGTTTCTTATTTACAGCACAGGGAACCTAATGTCTGCCACCTAAGGTTGTTGTGTCTCGTGTAATCCTTTTTTTTTTTTTTGGAGAGGTTTTTGCTATAGGACACATGGGCTTGCCCGAAAGACAGAGAAACAGAGAGACAGAAAGTGAGAAATCACCCCTCAGTGGGGATGGTCACATTACAATCCCTTCTCCTCCATTCTCCTCTCAGGATCTTGGGCACACATGCACATGCACTCGGCGTGAGTTTAAGCCACTGGGTTGGGGACTCGCACTGCAGTTGACCACATGGGAGTCTAGCAACATAGCCATTACGTCATCTGCTGGTTTCATGCGTGTCTCATGTAATCTTGTGGACGTTCTGGTTGCGTCAAGGATGTCCAATAGGTGGAAGTTAACTGCACACACACACACCCTATCTTTAGGGGGACTGTGAAACCTTCCTTCCCTAGTGGTCTGATAGACGGGTGTGGTTGGATTATAAGCAGGTGCTACACCTCCTGCTCTTATAAAGGGCTTCTCTGTGCAGCTATGGCTTCTCCTGGGTGGAGGAACAAATCCTTCACATGGCACACAGTTCTTAGTCGTCATGTCCCTTCTCACCTCTCTGCCCTCAGCTTATACCAATCTTTCCTCACCTGTATTCTGGTCTCCAAGCTTCAGTCACTCCTGGGTACTTCCTGTTGTCTTCTACCATAGGGCCTTTGCACAGAACCTCTGTCTGCAATGTTCACGGCCTGCAGATTTTTCAGTTAACATCTGCTCATTTTCAGAATTTATTATTTATTCATTAATTATGTAGTATTTAATGTGAAGAATAGTTATACCACATACATAAATATGTAGTAAAACAATACAATAAATATCTGGGAAAAAAAAGACTTAATTTTAGAAATTGTTCGTATCAAGCCATCATATTAACTGACATGCTCTTTCCCATTCTACCTGTTTCTCCCCAAAGGTAATCTCTGCTCTGACTTTTGTATTTTCTTCTTCATTGTTAAAAATTGTTTGATATTATGTAGATGCAACCCTAAATATTTTACTGTTAAATTCTGCTTGTTTGGGAGGCTGTATTAGTTTTCTTTTGCTGCTATAACAAATTAGCCCAAATCAGTAGCTTAAAACAACCCAAATTATCTAGAGGTTGGAAGTCCCACTGGGCTAACAGCAGGCAGAGGTGGGGCAGAGCTACATTCCTTCCCGGAGGCTCTGGGGTGGGGGTGGGGGTGGGGATGGGGGATCTGCTTCCCTTTTAACCTCTAGAAACTGGCTACATGAGTCTTTGGCTCATGGCCCCTTCAAAGCCAGCAGCATGGCATCTTCTCTGACTCTGGTTCTGTGGCTGCATCCCTTATTCTCTCTCTTGTCATGTCACCTTCTGGTAGAAGACTCTTTCCAGTAACTCAGCGTATATCTCCCTATCTCGGGGTCCTTAACTCAATCACGGTGGGATTACAGCCAGCACGGGGTGCCTTCTGCCGCGCAAGGTAACATATACAGGTTCTGGGGATTAGGATGTGAACATCTTTGGGAGCCACTACGCTCCCTTTCTAAAGGGGCTTTCTAAAAATGGTATTCAGTATGTGCACTTGAGCAACTTGCCTTTGCACTCAATATCACTTTATTCTTTTTTTAAAGATTTTTGCAATAGGGTGTGTGTGCTGGTCAGAGAGACAGATAGCAAGAATTCACCCTCCAGGGGGGATGGCCAAGCTGCAATTTCTTCTCCTCCATTCTCCTCTCAGGATTTTGGGCATGCATGCGCTCACATGCGCCTGGCGTGAGGTTTAAGCCACCAAGTCTGGGACTTGAACTGCGGTCAACTATGTGGAAGTCCAGTGACGTATCCATTATGCCATCTGCTGGTCCTTCAATATCACATTTCTGAGAATCATCTTTGAATAGCTCCATTATTTAGCCCTTCTCCTGCCAGTGGACTTTTGCTCACATCCTTCTTAAGACCTTGGCTCAATGTTGCTTCTGTAGAGAAAGGATGTTTCTATACCATATGCTCTTTTATTTATTTGTTTTTATTATATATATTTTTTCATTTATTTATTTATTTTTATTTGGAGAGATTTTCACTGTAGGGCGTGTGCGCTCGCCAGACAGACAGAGAGAGACATAGAGACAGAAAGCGAGAAATCACCCCCCAGGGGGGATGGTCACGCCGCAATCCCTTCTCCTCCATTCTCCTCTC